CCCGGGCTGCAGCCCGCTTGGCCTGCCAGTACCCGTCAGCTGCCTCAGGTGTCCCACGAGCCAACCAGGCTCGAAAGGACTCCTCCTTCAGCTTGACAGCATCCTTTCCTTCCGGTGTCCACCACCGGGTTTGGGGATTGCCACCGCGACAGGCACCGGAGACCTTACGGCCACAGCTCCGAATGGCCACATCAGCAATGGAGATGGAGAGCATGGTCCACTCGGACTCAATGTCTCCAACCTCCCCCGGGATCTGATCAAAGCTCTGCCGGAGGTGGGAGTTGAAGATCTCTCTGACAGGGGATTCTGCTAAACATTCCCAACAGACCCTCTGTGGTCGGCCGGTTCTGCCCAGCTTCCTCCCCCGCCATCGGATCCAGCTCACCACCAGGTGGTGATCAGCTGATGGCTCCATCCCTCTCTTCATCCGAGTGTCCAAGACATACGGCCGGATGTCAGATGAAACAACCACAAAGTCTATTATCGACCTCCGACCCAGGGTGTCCTGGTGCCACGTGCGCTGATGGACATGCTTATGGTTGAACATGGTGTTTGTTATGGACAGACTGTGACTAGCACAGAAGTCCAATAACAGAACACCACTCGGATTCAGATAGGGGGGGCCATTCCTCCAAATCACGCCTGTCCAGGTGTCACTGTCGCTGCCCATGTGAGCATTGAAGTCCCCCAGTCAAATAATGGAGTCCCCAATGGGAGCGTTTTCCAGCACCCTTCCCAGAGACTCCAAGAAGGCTGGGTACTCTGCACTGCCATTCAGCCCGTAGGCACAAACGACAGTGAGAGACCTATCCCCGACCCGAAGGCGCAGGGAAGCGACCCTCTCGCCAGGTGGTGATCAGTGGACAGCTATGCCCCAGCTAAGCTGGAGAGCTATGAGCAAGCCCACACCAGCCCGCCGCTTCTCACCGCGGGCAACTCCAGAGTAGTAGAGAGTCCAGCCTCTCTAGAGGAGTAAGGTTCCAGAGCCCAAGCTGTGCATGGAGGCAAGGCCGACTTTCTATAGCCAGTACCTCTCAAACTCCTGCACAAGCTTGGGCTCCTTCCCCACCAGCGAGGTGACATTGCATGTCTCCAAGGCTAGTCTCCGTGTCCAGTGATCGGGTCGTCGGGGCCCTTGCCTTCGACCCCTGCCCGGTCCACTGTGCACCAGCCCCTTACAGATCCTCCTGCAGGTGGTGGGCCCATGGGAGGACGTCCCCACGCCGCTCTTTCAGGCCAAGCCCGGCCGGGCCACATGAGGCGCTCGCATTCGAGCCCCAACACCGGGCCTGGCTCCAGGGTGGGGCCCGGCTGCACCATGCCAGGTGACGTTAAGGTGATTTTAATCACTACAACCTAAAGTAAGTGCTTGCTAAATTCCACCAGCATCTTTCCTGCCACACTACAGGAAATAACATTCTGGACCGTGTTTACACAAACATGGCTGCTGCATACAAGGCGAACCCCCTCCCCCACTTGGGACAGTCAGATCACCTTTCTTTATTCCTCATTCCCAAATATTCACCACTCATCCACCGTGAAGCCATCAATGAGGATCATCAGTGTATGGCCAGAGGGGACAGACTCTGTACTACAGGACAGGTTTCACC